TACTTAAAAAGAAATTTGATAAGAAAATAAGATATCTGATCTTACATATACTAACTGCGGCAAGAATTGCATTCGCGCAATATTGGAAGGAACGCAATATACCACCAGAGGGGTTGATTATTCAGAAAATTTATGAATGTGCCGAGATGGACAAACTCACCTTAGAATTAAAAGAAAAAGATGATTTGGAATTTTATGCGGTTTGGGAAAATTGGTATAATTGGATAGACAATAGAAATAAAAATTGGAAATATACATAAGGTTATTGTGTAAATTAGGTTATTGTGGGTTAGATTGAATGTACATAGTGTATATATTGTATAGAATGTAGATCCATAGTATATAAAAATGACATAGTCTGCTGAATATGTACTGTATTAAAAATAAATAAATAAATGGAAAAAAAAGAAGAAAAGAAAGTAACTTACAAGGGGCTAAGACTTTGATACTGGGAATGTATGGTCCAAATGAAAACAAAATAGCATTTTATAAAGATCCTATACTGTAGGTAAACTATTGAATTTTCTATGTGAAAATGGTGTTTCCTAAGATATTGGAATGAGGTGATTTGGATGATCAAACATTATAAAAATATGTTGTCACTATTCTCACAAAATGAGTGTCACGAGAAGGCCTTGCTTATTCACACAATAACTGACATGGTAGGCACAGCCAATCTGAAAACATTGACTCATCCAAAGAAAAGCAGGTTGAAACTAAAAGCAAAGTAACCATTCAAGAACCTTACAGAACAGAATTTCAAGAATGTGGAGAGAGGGTAACATAAACTTTCAACACTTATTTTCTTCAATTCCTATTTTCTATTGGGCTGCATTACCAACCTGGCCCTGTTTCACAACTGGACGGGAACTGACGGAGAAAAATTTCCTTCTTCTTGGAAAATCCAGATTCAGAGATCCACCAGAAAGGCCGTTCCCCAAATAATAACCTTGGAAATAAAAGGAAGAGGAAATATATATAATTAAGAGCTGGGAAGAACAAAATCAACTCTTTCAAAATGCTAGGATGATTAAATTTACTTGCCACCTTATCTACTAGTTTACAATTGACAACTATGGTACTCTTTTACTAGTTTTATTAATTCATTTCTTCAAAGAATTCAAGGTGATATACATTAGATAGCAATTCCTCATCCAATATTTTGCTATGACAATTCAATGAGGAATATTGGACTGAAAGAATGCGACTGGCCTACAGTGTTAAGAAACCTTTCAGGACTGAAGGTGGACTAGAACACCAGTTTCTCCAGTTCTAGAAAATACTTCAACCCCTGCACCATTCTGACTAAATATTAATTTTTATCAGCGTAAAACCACTGGCTCTAATTTGTATTTTACAGCAGAAGGGTTGCAAGCTTGTCACTTTTGTGAAGGCAGGGCTATCTGCAACTGGACATTGTTTTGTTAATTTCTACTGGACTCATCACAGTGAGAATCAGGCCTCACACCTACTGTATAACTAACAGGTATGGTAAGAAACAAAGAGAACAAGAGTTTCCAATTAAATCAAAGTCTTCATCACATGCTAATGTAGAAGAGCTTTATTTGCAAACACTGGAACACACACACATAGAGCTTTTCCCAGGCCAATGAAATGCACATAGTGCAGGCAAGGGTCCTACACTGCTCTTCAACCCATCTGCAATCAGCTTTTAATGCATGAGTTCCAAGAAAGCCCTATTCATGTATATACACAAACCTGTATTCCAAGTCCTAACAACTACTATAGTACTATAAGCCATCCTCCTCTTGTTCTTAATGGAGCAATTCTATAATTCTATATCCTGGATAGAACAAGAAGATTTGTTCCATCGATGAATAGTTCCAAATTTGTTCTAAGCCTTGATATTAATTCCTCTGAAAGCCAAAAATATTTTGCTACTCCACAAAATTCTATTGAACGTCAGTTAACGAATATTAGTGGACTGTTGGTTAATAACAAATAAAAGTGCTACTAGCTGCAATTCAAGTCATCCTGTCCAAACACAGTGCAGCATGGGGTGAAAGTGGAAATTCAGAGGGTGACTTTGAGTGAATTATTTTTTTCTCAGTCCAAGCTATTACAAGATTCCCCACAGGCAGGCTGTAAGTCTAACAAATAAATTCAATTTTCCAATTCCTTTCATGCCTGATTTTCTGCTTCTCCCCATCATCCAGAATCACTGAATAGATTTTTTTCCCCCTTGGGGTTCTTTAAGTAATTACCTTAATTTAGTTAATTCAATTCTCTTATATATTTGATGTTTGTTATGTGAATGCCATTTCAGCCACAAAGCATTCATTTATAAACCATGAAAAGGAATTCGTCCTCTGTATAAATTGGAGATAGTTCTATAAGATGTCTTTGATGCAAAACGAAGTTTATGTTTTGTGTTTAGTTCCTGGATGTTGGCTCTTCCTTCTGTATCACAACGGCTGAATCTACCATTCTCCATCTTACAAAAGCAAAGAAGTTACCGTCTTACTGTAGAATCTGAACTTTCAAATAATACTGCCCTTGCTCCTATGGGTTCTTTCTTGATGCCAAAAATGGAATGGCTAGGTTCCAAACATTCCATACAGTTCACAGGAACAAATCTAGTCTAATTCTGGAATATTGTCTTTTTACCTTTGTTTTTTCCTCACCATTTAGACATCAAGTTCAGCCATTCTGAGATTAGGCCCAACCATAGCACCGTCAATCCAACCTTCTTACCCAGCAGGAAGTAGGCAAGAGGGAAATAAATAATGAAGACACATTTGGGATCGCCGAAAAAGGTTACCCAAAGCCAAAAATCCTCCAAGCCAGGCAGGGCAGTCTGAAGCGTTTCAGCAAACTGGACACCACTAGTGTAAAAGATATCCATGGTGGTGAAACTGAAACAGATGAGAAGAATTAAAATGCGTTTCTGACAAACTCTTACTGAGCCAATGCCTTTGCAATGCAGAAATCAAGCAATGAAATTGTTCAGAAAATAGTTAAATAGCTTCCATAACAATAAAGAAGAAGCACGTGATGATTAAAACTCTGCTTGTAAGCCAATCTGGCCACCCTTTAGATGTGTGAAATGGGCGTTGTCTTACCTGAACGCCTTTTCTCAGCATGAAGATGTAGCCTCCACCAATGGGTTATCGAAGCCTTCCTGCTCAGTTTAGACTAAGACCAAACTTTGGCCACGCCTCCCTTGGGCGGTCCTTTCCCAGTTTTGTTTGACGAGACGAAGCATCTATGGTGTGACACAACAACTCCTCCTAAAAAAAGATTCAGCCTAGACCCACTAACAAGGGCGGGTGTGGAGGCTACATCTTCATGCTGAAAAAAGGCGTTCAGTTAAGACAACGCCCATTCTCCAGCATGACAGATGTAGCCTCCACCAATGGGACATACCCAAGCCCCCCATGTCCCCTTCGGGAGGGAAGTCTAGGCCTGTGATCCATGAGTAGAAACCACCTGCTGCAAAACCCTCCTGCCGAAGGAAGCATCTGCTGCAGCGAACCGATCAAGTTGTAATGCCTTATAAATGAAGAGGGGGAAGACCAGGTGGCTGCCCTACAAATCTCCTCAACCGAAGCCTGGGTAGACCAGGCTGCAGACGTGGCTGCACTGCGCGTTGAATGAGCTGTGATGTTTGCCGGAACTAGAAGAGACTGAGCCCTGTAAGCATAAGAGATGCATGCCCTGATCCACCTTCCAATGGTTGAAGATGACACCTTCAGACCCCTGGAAGAAGGCTGGAAAGACACGAACAGCGCCTCTATTCTGCGAAAAGGCTCAGTACGCTTCACATAGTGATGCAAGGCCCTACGCACGTCTAGCGTGTGCCATAACTTTTCCAGACGATGAGACGGTCGAGGACAAAAATCTGGGAGAACTAGATCCTGAGACCTATAGAACCAGGTATTGACTTTTGGAACGAAGGACGGGTCCAACTTGAGGACCACCCTGTCATCCAGAAAGTTACATAGATCACCCCTGACCGAAAGCGCAGCCAGCTCAGAGATACGCCTTGCCGATGTAATGGCAACCAGAAATGCGACCTTCAGAGAAAGAAAGTATAAGGAACAAGACCTGATTGGTTCAAAGGGCGATTCCGTAAGAACTTGCAACACCTTGGGCAAGTCCCACGTGGGATATCGATGTACCACAGGAGGAGCAGTGTTAACAGCTCCCTTAAGGAATGCCCTAACTGCCGGGTGATGTGATAGCTGTATCTGATTCTCACAAGTGAGAACCGAGGACAAGGCAGCAATTTGCCTACGAATGGTGTTATAAGACAGACCTTTGTTCAGGCCCCCTAAGAGGAAATCTAAGATGATTGGAATGGTGACCTTCAACGGATCCAGTTTCCGGGAGGTACACCATGTGCAGAAATGCCTCCACGTGGCATCATAAATTCTATTAGTTGAACGGCGTCTGGAGGCTTGAATTACCGTAATGACTCCCGGGGAATATGACTGCCTGGCTAAACTCTCCCGCTCAAGTGCCAAGTGGCTAATTGAAGCCACTGTGGATCCGGGTGTTGGAGCTGACCTTGACTGAGAGAAATGAGGTCCGGTGGGATCTTCCATGGCAGAGAGATCAACAGATCCACGAGTCTGCAAACCAAGGTCTCCTTGGCCAGTGAGGGACCAGCAAGATTAACTCCGCCTGTTCCAAAAGAAGCTTTCTGATGATGGCCGGAATCAGTGGAAGAGGAGGGAATGTATACAGGAGCCCCTTGGGCCAAGGACTGCGGAGTGCATCCGTTCCCTCTGCCCGTGACGGAAACCTCGTGAAGAATCTGGGCAGCTGAGCGTTTGTCGATCGCTCTCCAACCCCCCGAGGTTTTGGGGACCACGAAGAGAACGGAGTAAAATCCCTTTCCCCTTTGGTCCAGAGGAACCGGTTCTATGGCCTTTATATCTAACAGATGGGAAATGGCTGTGGGAACTAGCCCAGCCTTGCTTGCGTGTCTTGAGACTGGACACTGGATGAAGCGGCCTGGGGGAGTGGAATTGAATTCTAGGGCTAGACCGAGTTTTATGGTCTCCCTCACCCAGGTATCGGTGGTGGTGACCTCCCAAACGTCGCTGAACAGAGCCAAGCGACCTCCTATGGGAGGATCCATATTGGCGTCACTTGGACCTCCTGAATGGACGTCCCCCAGCTCCCCTAAAGGGACGCTTGCTCTGGAACTGCCCCCTGGTTCCTGAACTCTGGCGGTCCTGTTGTCGATCCTGTCTGGGGGAAAAGGATCGGGAACCTCTGGGCCAGTCCCAGGACTGCCCTGATCGAAAGGGCTGCCGCCAATCCCAGGAACCCCCAGGCCGAAAGGATTGTCTGCGGAATTCTTGTTGAGGTCTCCTATCCGCCTTTTTGGAGGGGTGAGCCAATGTTTTCCTTTTGTCCTTCCCTTCAACCAGGTATGGTTCCAAGATCGCCCCGAACAATTGAGTACCCCTATATGTGTCTGTGGCCAGATGCCATCTTGATTTGAGATCTGCCCTCCACTGCTTGAGCCACAACAATCTGTGAGACGCTACCGTGGCCGCGATAGACCTGGCAGAATACTTGACCGAGTGGAGGGATGCATCTGCCATATACTCCGCAGCAGCTACTAGTTTACCCAGAGCCTGTTGTGCACGCACGTGATCTGGAGGAATTAAGGCTTGTAACTCACGGAGCCACATGATGGAGATCCTCGCGAAAAAGGACAAGGACGTTGCCGCCTTGATGGCCCAGGCTGAGGCCTGATGAGCTCTGCGGAGAGAAAACTCAAATCTTTTATCCTCCATCTTGAGGTTCTCTGCCATGTCACCAGGAACTGTGGATGTGGAGAATAAAGATGTCAAGGGGGCATCTACCGTAGGTACCTCAAGGAGGGAAGAGAAATTAGGTGACACATTAAACAGTTTCTTTTCCGTGCTGCTGGGTGGAGGTAGAGTGGACAATGAAGCCCACTGTTTTTCCACCGTGGTGCGGAAAACCACGGGGCAAGGAACCTGCTTTTCCTCGACAACCTGTACCGTAAACAAGGGATTGGACTCCTGTTCAGCGGACGTAGATGGTTCAGGTTCCTGCTCTGCGACCAAATTGGCCGTGGTGCAGGCTTTTAATAATAGTGAATGAAATAGAGAAGGATCAAAAAGACCAGATGTTGGAGTTGGATCTGGTGCCACCTCCTCATCCTCTGACATAGGTAAGTCAGTTGTCTCCAAGTCAACAGACTCGGCTTCTCCCAGTTGAGACGAAGTCTCAGAAACACCCGAACCTGCTGACTGGAGGTACCCAGTGCGACCTGCTGGCAAGGGTGGAGGAGGAGGGGATGGAATCTGTGAAGACCCCTGACCCCTAGAGGATGCCATAAATTGGTTGAAAGCTTGTTGCATTAAAGAGTTGAATTGTTGTGCCCAAAAGGCCTGTTCTGCAGGGGCAACACCAGAGGCAGAGGCCTCAGAAGCCTGTAAGGTGCTGGAAGCGGCAGGAACTGAAGGACCAGAAGTAAAAGGAGGAGAGCCGGGAAGGGAAGAAGGGAGACCAACCTGTTCAGTTCCCCCTTGAGGAGACCAAGCCGTGGGGACTTGATAAGAAGGCACTAGTGAAGGCTCAAATGGTGAACTGTCCAGAGAAGCAGGGGGAACCACTTCAGTTTCACTGGACCTGAGCCTTTGTGCTCTGGAGAATTCTTTCTCCAGTGCCTGATGTCTCCTCGAGGCCTCTCGCTCAGCAGTCTTGGAGGGTTCTGTAGATAAATGCTTGGTTTAGGCTTTTTTCTTTCCCCCCCCCCCCCGCGCTCATATCAGAAGATCTGCGTTTGGATTGTGCGGGGGGGGGCATCAGAACCCTGCGAAGTCTGAGGAGTATCACCATCTGCCATTGTGCACCGGCCTTCCAGATAGGAGAAGCCCTGTAATGGGGGTAAACACGCAGATCAAGTTGTCCGGGAGGGAGGCTTCCCACGCACTAAGACAACCACAATGACAAATAGCAAGACAGCTCCCTAAAACTGTCTGCCTAGGCCCTGCTGGCACAGCGCCACGAGCTAATTAGAACAGGTTTGTGAAATTCTCCCTCGGATTACAATTAGTAATAAAGTTATTTGAATGATGTAATAATAATCAGAAAGGGAAACCCCCTCCTTTTAAAAGGAATCCTTGCACAAAGGAGTAGAAGAAATTGTTCAGATGAACCCCCTCAAAGCCCAACACAGTAGGCTACAGAAAATTCCAAGGGCTGATATTTGTCTGTGTGAAGGCCTCACCAAGATGGTGGCCACACCCAGTCCTATTCAAAATGGCGGCCGCAAGCCTCCTTGCCGCCTAATGGCGACGCTCGAGGGAAATAGAACGACGATTAAGGCCACCACCAGGCGTTCGGGGGATCCCGCGGGTCCCTGCCACCCAGTCTTCACCCCTTTTGATCAGCAAGGTAGTCAAACTTGCGGTTCGGTGTGCAGGCAAACAGCCGCCCGATCGTCCTCCGGAGCCTCGTGGCCATGAGGCTGAAGAGATTCCTCCTGGCAAGTTCTCCGATCCTCCGGATTGCCGAACGGCTTGCTCCCGGGCGCTGGGGAATCCCCCTCGCTGCACCAAACAGCCGAGCCTAATAAAAAACTCCGAAGCGCTCAGGGAACCCCCGTCGCAGCGCCAAACAGCCGGAGCGAACTCCGGCTCCAACGGCAAAGTCGAGGCTCCTAGGGAGTTGCGTCCCTGCAGTACCCAGGGACTCACTCCCAAACAGCTGAAAACCTCTCTGCACTCCTCCTAACTAATGCTAATGTATAAAGAAAAAGCAAACAAAAGCAAACTTGCCAACTAACTTACTCTAAACTAACTAATCAATTTAATTAAATAGAGGAGCTATCGAAGTTGTGTCCTACTGAGCCGA